AGAGAGAGAGAGAGAGAGAGAGAGAGAGAGAGAGATAGCCGAATAAAAAGGAGAGACAGATATCCGATAACTAATAGAGAAGCGGCAGAAATAAAAAGTAAATATATTATCCGTTAATAATAGAAAAACACATTCATTTCATATCTGCCTTTAATTTGTTGGCAATCTTTCACTACTAGAAGTATATGTAATTCATTTTGGTGTTTTTATATACAGTATATATTTTTGCCTAGAATTTTCTCTAATAGCCTAGATGATTTATAAACGCCACCATATTAATATTTAATATTAAAATTAAATAATATTAATCATTGTTTATTTGTTTAATAAATTATTTTTTATTTTAAAAAGTATTGTCTTTATAATATAATGTTTAAATTTTTATAATAATTAAAACAATTTGTATTATTAATTTTATAAATTCATAACACAGTTATGTCTATACAGTACACAATTTATCTAACAATTTGTTAATTAAATTTTTACAAATAAAGATTTGTTATATTATTTATCATTAATTGTAAGAATATTTGTTATTAAGTAAAACAAAAATTTTAAAACAATTAATATAAATTATTTCCGTATATAAGTTATAATTAATATTAATTAAAATGTAAAAAACAATCCTTGGTTTTGGTGTGCCATTAATAGCACTGATAGTACGCATACACACTATATATATTTATACAGTTGTACAGAATATTCTGTGTATAAGATTTATATAACACAGAATATGGGAATCAAACAAAAGTCCGGAATATTCTTCAGTTTCTATTGTCTGAAACGATGAATACATTTATAAACATATCGGAAAAAATCACACAAAAATCAAAATTTAATACAAAAATGCGTTTTTATTTAACAATAATACGTATAAATATCTGTATATTTATATGTATTGAATGGCACTTAAATATCACTCGTTTTGAATTTTGTTTTTATTATTATTATATAATATATAATTCATAAGCATTACTATAATCTTCATTGAATACGAGATAATCGTTTTCAATATTTTCACTATAATTTGATGCTTTGAATACACTTTTGCGTTGAGATTATTATTATTAATAACAATAAATATGTTATTAAATAATCCATTTGTCATTAAAAATTTATTGATGGTAAAAAATAGTTAAATGCATAATTTATACATGGTGCAATAATTATCATAGACTAATATTGGCCACATTGTTAATTTGTTGCTGTTGTTGTTGTTTACTATTACCGGGTATTAGATTAACGTGTAATACATTTTGATAATCGGTGGTTAACTGGTGGCCAACTTTATTACCAACTTCTTTGTTATAGACGTATACTCGGGATCCTTTTGTTGGGTACATGTCTTGCATTTTGTAATCTAAATTGATATATAAATAGGATTACATTATATATATGGTAAGAAAATTGCATAATCAATTATTTAGTAATTTTACTTTGTTTTATTTTCTCAATTTTCTCTGTGTTTTCTTTATGCCATTAATTATTGATTATTGACTTTTGTTTGAATATTTATGCATTATTTATAGCTAGGGTTGAGAGAGTTTTTTTTATAAACAAAATTAAATTAAATTTACTTGTATTATATTTGTTTTAAAAATCTACATCGATCGATTCTAATCTAATTTGCTTACGACTAAGATATTACAGTATGTTAAATATTTATTATGCATATTCTGTATATAAAATAATACATGCATGCATGCATCTTAAAATTCAAAACCAATTACTTTCAATGGATTTACAGAATATAATTTTAATTAATATTATTTATGATAAAATAAAATCAAAAATCGCGTACAAAATAATAACTCAATTCATAAATATAATGCCATCATAAATAATAATGGGCTTAATATAAAACACATGGTGTTATTAAAGCGAACTATTTTTATACAGAATAATATGCAGTACAAGTAACTTATATACCCCATTACCAGACATACAAAAGCCATAATATAGAGCATAATCACTAATTAATGGGCAGCGAGTAAAAATAATTACCATCATCTAAACTTCTAACAGTACACCACATAAAGTACAGTAACACACAGTATAATACTCTCTACACTACTCGACATAAGTACAGAGCACTGGACAGACATAAGTACAGACATATCACGGATAAGAGGGATATATAGAGGGATATACTTAAACACAAAAACTTACGTTCAGTGGCAGCGAAATAATTACCAGAATTGTCGGGCACAGCACCATGATCAGTAAAAAAACAATCCCCACTGCAGGTGCCCTTATTATCACCAACACTACTGTCACAGCAATCACGTTCATTAGTGCCGTAATACACATTACCACCACCGGGACTACAACCGGGACCACCACCAGCACCGGTAGCAACATGACTACCGTAATACGGCACAGGTATAATGTCGGGTGGGCCCGCTTTGCCATTGCCAGTGCCGCCGCCATTATGGTAATAACTGAGATCTTGGTCGCACTTGTACTGGTCGGGGCACTCGTCGTCCGGGTCGTGGAGGGCTGTGTTGCCGCACTTCAACAGCGTTTGGTCCGACGAACACTCGTCGTTGCAGTCGCCCCCACCGGGACCCCCACCGCCGCCACCGCCCGTACCCAACATAGTCTCCATATGGGAACCGCAGCCGTCGCCACCGCCGTCGCCCTCCCTGTCCAGCGCCTGGGCGTCGATCGCAGCCAAGTGTATGCTGGAGGACGAGTAGCGCACTTTGAACACAGCGATGATCGCCATAATTACCACGATTACGGCCACCGCGGCGGCCGATATCAACACACCCACAATCAGGTGCTTGCCGTGTATGCGCACACCCGCCGCCCCAACCCCTCCCGACCCGTCGCCGTCGGCGGTGTTATTATCGGTGCCGTCAAAGTCGATGAGCCGTTGGGCGGGCAGTAGTGTCTGTGTGCGCAGCTCCTGATCCCCGTGGGAGCGGATGTTCCGGATGTTCACCGCATATATCCGGAGCTTTAACTGGGTTTTGGCCGGCAATTGGTCGATAAAAAAGTCAAACGTCGAGTTGTGTCGCATCAACTGCGCCCTCACCGCGTCTACCGTCACGTTTTTTATGAGTCTAGGGTTGCCGACACCGGGAGTGTTGAACCCCTGGTTTGCACCCCCATTGTTCCCTATGTCGTACACTTCGCACACGTAGTACGTGTGCGGATGGACTATCATGTAGGGGCTGGCGGTGGTGGCGACGCTGGCGTTGGCACCATGTTTGTTATTATTAATTGGCTTATTACTACTACTGGCACTAAACACATTATCACCATGCACTTTATTATGGCTACCGGTGCTGACCCTTTGGCTATGCGCTACCGGTAATTGAGTTAAAAGCGACGCGTTTAGGGCGCTGTTGGCCGCGCTGGTGGCACCACCGGTGCCCCCATGGGATCGGTTGTGATGGGTTGGCTGTTGGGCGCAGTTGACTGTGAGGGTACAGTCGGACTGATTGATCACTTGACACGAGAAGGGAAAGTAGGGTTCGGCCGACTGTGTGATCAAGTATTTGCACGATTGCCGCTGTATTCCTATGGCATTCTTAGCGATGCACTCGATTTGACCAAATTCTTGGGTCGCATGGGGTGTATACGTGAGGATTGAGCTGTTGGTAGTGATAATGGTGGTGATGTTGGCCAGGCATGTATGGCATGGGTTAGATGTGGTAGAGTGTGAGTGAGTGAGTGAGTGAGAGAGAGAGTACAGAAGCCATTGAACAACAAAGGGCTGGTCATTGAACATGTATTATATAATGTGTTGTGTGTTT